ATTTAACTTAATGTTTTGTCATTTCAAAATAAAGATCAATTCAAAGCTAATAGTCTCTCCCTTTTTTATATGACAAAACTTAATGATAAATTTATTTGATAAAAAAATTTCTTTAAAACATTTAAGATTTTTGAAAAATATTTTGAAAAACTACCCTTAAACTTTACATGACAAAACTCCTCCCCTATTAATGCATCCTAATCCAACACAATACAATAAACATCTATTAGTCAAATATATCAAGCACAATCAAATATATACATGTTAAGCACAAGTAAATTTATTCATATAATATTTCTATTTTTTTTATCATAGCAAAAAGACATGAGCAAATAAACATAAAATGAAAGTATTAACAAATATATTCATGAAATATTTCTCTTTTTTTATTTAATCTCTTTATACCAAATATTAAAACTCCTATACCGATTGTTATAAACATACAAGAAGAAATATTTATAAACTATTTCCTTTTTTGTCATTATAAAAAAAAGAGAGATCACTTCAAGGTATAAGACAAAATGCTTGATACTAATAATATCAAAAATATTTTGAATGCATGTAATCAAGTGTAATATACACAATAAAATTCACAAACATGTATTCAAGTACAAAAGCATAAGTGTATCCAATTAAAATGTTACAGCACAAATCATTCATTCAACCTAACTACATGAAATTTATGAGCAAATGGATAATAAATTATATGCAACCTACTCATAAATTATGTTATAATAATATGTACTTATAACCTAAAACATCAACAATTAAACATAAATTCAAGCACATGTACACAAGCTCATACCATTTGTTAAGAATACAAATTGTTAAAGATATGTTATCACAAAGTATATTGATTGTTATCAAAAAAACAAATCAAGCAAAATTATATTCTAAGATTTTTCCTTGTTTTTTAAATAAAGATTAATTAATTTAAGGCGCACATAATTTTGCATGAAAGGTACAAACTATATCAAAGATAGACACATAAACAAGTGTCCGTAAAAGTTAAAAAATTTTTTAGCAATTTTGATACCAATTGTTAGCTATTTTGTTCACAAACTTTTAAGGAACATAATATATTTCAACCATATGAAATGTTCAATCAACACATGCATAATAACATTCTTTCATAAGCATATTCTATCTAAAACAACTATTCAATGATCATGTTATAACAAAGAATTATACAACCATGATTTTTCAAACATGATAAACACATGCTATAGCAAAGAAATAATGAGAATATAATTATTCAAATATAATCCAAATTATTTCAATGCAAATCAATATTCTTAATCTAAATATATGCAAGTACATATATACAATTCAAACATATTTTTCAATCAAAATCATACAAGCACATGCAAAAACATTTCAATTCACATATAACAACAGTATACCAATAAAAATACAAATATTTAGACATAATGTGATACATGTTATCTCAATGATCTCAATCAATGAACATATTTAAAAAAATCAATCTATTTAACTCATATCCATATCCATATCTAAAGACTCAAACGAATATTCAAGCAATAAAAACAATTAAGAAATAAGCATGAATATTGATCAATCCAAGCATTTAACAAAATTAAGACAAATTCTATCAAGTAACTTGATGATTAATTTGTGTAAAATGTTCACACATCAAATAAAAATTTATCAAAACATGTGTTAAACATTAAAATCATAGGCAACAATATAAATTTAATACAATTACCTTCATCTTTATCAAGCTATGTTATTGTATTCATTTTAGTTGAATAAGTCTTTGAATCTTCCATTCTACATCATTTAAGCTAATCTTTGATGTACTTAAGCTTGATTAATAAATATGACTTGCTTTACTTGTTCCACTTATAATCCCAAAAATGTAAGTTCATTCATGCTCATTTCAAATTCTCCTAGCATAGATTTAGAAAAATTTCTTGATAAAAGATTTTCATTAGAAGCATAAAAAAAATCAATTGATAAAAATTATGCCAATTGTTGAAAATAAATTTCATATTCTAAGTTATTATTAACAAAAAAAAATTTATTCACTAAACTCAATTTTTCGATTAGAAATAAGATCTATATATATATTATGCAAAAATCAAACATTTTAGATCATTCCTAAACACAAAATAGACATGTAATATTCATATATATTTAGTAAATCACCAAGGAATATGTCAAAACTAATTTGAGACCTTATAGAATTCAAAAAAACTTAAAAAAAATATTTATCATAAAAAATGTAATCAAAAAATTTTCATCACAAAAGAAATTTTGTTCACTAAACTCAATTTTTCAATTAAAAATGATATATATATATATACTTAAGCTAAAGGTCAGTATCAAGTTAAGCATCAAATATCATAATATTAACTAAAAAAAGCTAAAATTCTCATGTAATGTGCAAAAATCAAACATTTTAAATCATTCATAAACATAAAATAAACATATTCAATATTCATATATATTCAATAAATCACAAAGGAATATGTCAAAATCAATTTGAGGCCTTATAAACTTAAAAAAACTTAAAAAAGACATTTATCATAAAAACGTAATCAAGAAAATTTCATCACAAAAGCGTAAATATGTTTACACAAATTATAAGCCATAATCAACAATAACTTAAGACAAACATAAGCATTATAAGAGAATCACATACTTAATCCATGTTGCAAGCATGTAAAAAAAAACTCGATCATATTCATATAAGCACACATGACATGAGCAATAGATAAGCCAATAATATATATCTTTTAAGAGCAATTAGCTCATCATGCATCAAATTAAAATCACAAATCAATTAAGCACAAGAGCAAGCATATTTCAAAAATATTTCATCACAATTTAAAATCATAAACAATCCAATAAATTGTGACAAAAATCAAGCACAAAATATATTTCAAAAATTTCACAAAGAATCAAGAGATAATCGATTTAGCATTTTTCAATAATCAAGTATTTTGACCATATGCATTGCATTAAGAAATAATTTTCATCCATATGTGCACTTAAAATTTATAAAAGTAATGAAATTGAATGAAAAATAATAAAGCATTGAAAATAAATTCTTAATTTTAACATAAATACTTGTTCCAAGATTAAAAATATAATCAAATAAATATCCATAATGCATACAATTTTTAATTTAAAAAATAATTTATTATTATTATTTTTTAAATTATTAAAAAATTTAAAGTCAAAGTCAAAAGCAAAAGTCAAAGACCAAAAAATCAATCGATCCCTTAAAGAAGGGATCGATTGATTTATCCAAGAGAGTGATCCTATAATCTAGGGGATCATTCTAGTCAAACTAGGTAGTTGTATTCTATTTTGTTCTCTACTCGCTAATTTGATCATCACTTAAATTATACAATTTCAACTCAAAAATCATTTGAACATTTAAAAATTAAATTTAAAGGACTTTTTATCCATATAATATTCACCATCTTATTCATTATATACAAATTATAATAAATTTTCTTTATCAAGCAAATTAAACTTTGCATGACAAAACTCCCTTAATTCATATGAATTATAGTGTAAAATTCCCCCTTAAACTTTACATGACAAAACTTCCCTTTAATTACCGCATCCTAATCCAACACAACTCAATAAATATATATTAATTAAATATATCAATTAAACACAATTAAACATATGCATATCAAGCACAAGCAAATTTGTTCATATGATATTTTTTTTCCTTTTTGTCATAGCAAAAAATGAGCAGACAAACACAAAAACAATGTTTTCTTAAAACTCCTATACCAAAAGCTATATACATACAAGAAAAAATATTTATAAGCTTTCTCATTTTTTATCATTATTAAAAAAAAAAAAAAGATCAATTCAATACATGAGACAAAATGCTTGTTACCAATAATATTAAAGTATTTTGAATGTATGTAATCAAGTATAATATGCACAATAATATTCACATATATATATTCAAGTACAAAAGCATAAGTGTATCCAATTAAAATGTTATAGCACAAAATTATTCATTCAACCACATGAAATTTATGAGCAAAAAAATAATAAATGATATGTAAGCTACTTATAAATCATGTTATCATAAAATGTACTTAGAACCTAAAACATCAATAGTAATTAAATATAAATTTAAACACATGTATACAAGTTCATATCAATTGTTATTAAAAAACAAACCAAGCAAAATTATATTCTAAGATTTTTTTTTCTTTTTTAAAATAAAGATTAATCAATTTAAAACACAATTTTGTATGAAAAATACAAGTTATATCAATGATAAGTATATAAACAAATGTCAATGAAAGTTAAAAAAAATTTTAACAATTTTGATACCAATTGTTTTCAATTGTTAGCTATTTTATTCACAAACTTTTAAGGATCACAATATATTTCAAACATATGAAATGTTCAATTACTACATACATAATAGCATTTTTTCATAAGCATATCTTATCTAAAACAAATATTTAATCATCATATTATAATAAAAAATTATACAATCATGATTTTTCGAGCATAATGAACACATATGCTATAACAATGAAATAATGAAAACATAATTATTTAAATATAATCTAAATTATTTCAATATAAAGCAATATTCTTAATCCAAACATATACAAATACATAAATACAATTCAAGCATATTTTTTAATCAAAATCATACAAACACAGGTAAAAACATTTCAAATCGCATATAACATTATACCAATAAAAATATAAACATTTAAACATAATGTAATACATGTTATCTCAATTATCTCAATCAGTTAATATATTCAAAGAAATTAATCTATTTAACTCATATCCATGTCCAAAAACTCAAACAAATATTCATGCGATAAAAACTATTAATCAAAGCAATCAAAAAATAAGCATGAATATTAATCAATCTAAGCATTCTAACAAAATTAAAACAAATTCTATCAAGTAACTTAATAATTAATTTGTGCAAAATGTTCACAAATTCAAGCATAATATCTCATTTTTGCATATATCAAAGTAAAAATTTATCAAACCATGCATTAAACATTATAAATCATAAGCACATAGCATAAATTCAAAACAATTACTTACATCATTCTCAAGTTATGTTGTTGTGCTTATTATAGTTGAGTGAAGCTTTGAATCCTCCATTTCACTTTTATAAGTTAATTTTTAATGTACTTGAGCTTGATTGATGAAGATGATTTACTTTACTTGTTCCACTTAAAATCTCAAAAATGTCAGCTCGTGCTTATTTCAAGTTCTTCTTTTATAAAGTTAGAAAAATTTCTTGACAAAAAATTTTCATTAGAAACATCAAGAAAATCAATTAATAAAAATTATACCAATTGTTCAAAATAAATTCCATAATCTAAATCATTATAGACAAATAAAATTTTGTTCACTAAATCCAATTTTTCAATTAAAAAAAAGATATATATATATATATATATAAACTTACTAAAAATCATGTATCAAATTAAGCATCATATATCACAATATTGTCATTAAAGTTAAAGTTCTCATGTAATGTACAAAAATCAAATATTTTAAATTATTCATGAACACAAAATAGACATTCAATATTCATATATATTCAGTAAATCATCAAGAAATATGTCAAAACTAATTTAAGGCCTTATAGAATTCAAAAAACTCAAAAAAGATATACTTATCATCAAAAAAATTTCACCATAAAAGCATAAATATATCTATACAAATTATAAGCCATAATCAACAATGATTTAAGACAAACATAAGCATTATAAGAAAATCACTTACTTAATCCATGTTGCAACCATGTCAAGTAAAACTCAATCATATTCATATAAGTACACATGACAAGAACAATAAATGAGTCAATAATATATTTTAGTTAAGATAAATTAGCCAATCATGCATCAAATTAAAATCACAAGAGCAAGCATATTTCATCACAATCAAATAAATTGACATAACAATCAAGCACAAAATATACTTCAAAATTTTCACAAGAAATCAAGAAATAATCAATTTAACAATGGCCATGTGCAGTTGATAATCAATTCCACACCATCTTGGACAGGAAGGCAAAATGTAGGCATTCTACTCACCTGTAGCATACACAATTGCACAATTAGCATAACGAAGATAAAGAATATTGACATTTTCCCAAAAGAATTACTTATCTCGATTACATTCCTCTATGTATTATCCTTTATTAGTTTTACTGATTATTTAATTGATTATTATGATAGATGACAATTTAAGATGGTGGAAGTCTACCTTCAACTATTGTTTCTTTTCCTCTTCAATGTTCATAGAACTTATAAAATGTTATTTTTGCAAATAATATATGAAAATCTGCAACTAAATCACTCCAATATAAACATTTTATCAATTAAATGTTCCTTACAATGCTAATATTTCTAAAGTGTAAAACATAAATTACCTTTTATCGTGCTAGTAGCTCTTTTGGTGAATTATTTGCACAAAAGATGAAATACATGAAAAGCAAGGATATTTTAAGATTTCTAAAGATTCTTGGATGTTTCCTTCAAGTGTTTTGGGAATTTTCATTTTTGGCATCTTTAGTTGTTATGTTTCCATAACTCTTAGTCTACAATAAAAATTAGTTCAATTTACAACAAGAATTTTAAACAATTCTTTAGTTCATTTTACAATATCAAAACACTTAACTAATAGCAGGGTAACCTACTTATTCATGGCATATGGATGTTGATGCATGAAGAGAAGCGATGAAGCAGTAGAGAATTAGAAAAACATGTACAATACACAAATGTTAGGTAGGATTACGCACACACAAGTACATGTGTGCAAACTTTTTCAAAACCATTTCTACACTTAGCATCCTCATGGATCATGTAAAAAAGTATTGAAACCCCATTCCATTTATGCAACCCAGTGCAACAAATGTTGCTATAGAAGAGACAGTGGACTTAAAGCAGACATCATAATTCTGGGATAGATAAATGATTATAAGTCGAAAGATACTTAATGTGACTCAAAGAAGAGTTATAGAACATACATCTTCGCCAATGGTGACAGCCTCAAGATAAACTCCATGAATCATATGATTAACCAGCATCAAATAGACAACAGCATCTACATCAGTTTCATATCCAAATTACTCATTGTAGTTTCCAATAAATGCTACCTACAGCAAGTTCAAGAAAACAAAAGTTAAGCTTGGATAATACATTATAAAGATGCAATGACACTAAAAACCTTTAGTCCTCAAGAGAATTTAGTTAAGAAACAACCATAGAGAAATGATGCTTCACCACTTACAAAAACCAAATGTTACATCAGTTCTACTTCTCTATATAACATAAAGTCAAAACTTTGATAATTAACATCTGAACATGCAAGTAACTTATTATATAACACTAAGCAAAATAGAAAATCTGCAAACTCATTCTGATATTACCTGCAACCCATGATAGGTGTACATCATTGAAGTCAAAACATCAAATTTGAACCCATCAAACCTATATTCCTCTAGCCACCATCTTGCATTTGAAAGAAGAAACCTTTGTACCTAAAGCAACAAGTAAAAATTAATATTTACACAATAGGATGGAAGGAAGCCAAAATCTTTCAACGAGCTATTGTTTAAGAAGAAGTTTCAGTAGGAGTACATACTTCCCAGCTTCCATAATTAAAAAGGCGAGAATCCCACATCCCGTGGTGACCTCTTGACCCCAAGTGGAAGTAATGAGCATCGGTTCCATCAAACATGTTCAATCCATCTAACATATTATTAGATGCATGGCTGTATTTGTCAAACATCAGTCAGATACAAAGATGGATGAAAAAATTAATTAATAACTTAAATTAACTAAAGAATAAAAATTAACTGAGACTTATAGCAAAAGATTACTTACTCAAAGCAACAGAGCAAGTACTTGAATAAAAATTTGCTACAGCTTAGAAAAGAATTTAACATTAATGACATGCAAAAGATAAAAACTTTCATTGTAAACAATATAGTAAGATTCCATTTGGTAGTTGTTTTTGCTTCTAGCTTTTTGCTTCCAGAAGCAGAAAGAACATTTGGATAGAAAAGACAATAATACTTTAAAAGAATTAAAAATAAAAAATATTATCTCTTGTAGAATAAAATACTATGATTCCTCTTTTAATAGAACAATTATACTACAAATTCTACTCATTTAATCATATATATTTTCAAACAATTATGACTTTGCTTTTTCCCTTTTAGGTTTGTTCTTTAGAAACCTTTTAGGAAGCCAAAAGCAACTAGAAAAAACATTGTAAGAATAAGGACCAATAACAACCTAAATTCTCATGACCATTTTTGCATCAAGTCTACTGGAAGAATGACCACACAATCTACACAGGAAAAGAAGAAGAAAAAGAGTTTATATTTTCATTTTTGGTACAAAAAAGCTGGGAAAAATTGTTTGCACAAAAACTGTAGCAACAAATAAAACAGAAGGTTGTGTTTCTAGAAATGATATTCTCCTGCAAGTCCAATTATTACCTGCACACAATATCCATAAGAACAAGTAGATCCACCTCGTGAGCCCTATCTATTAGTGACTTAAGATTATAAGGGGTTCCAAAACGACCACTTGGTGCAAAGAAGTTTGTCACATCATACCTGCAACATATTAAATGCAACTTGTTAAAAGTAGAAGATGTTAGTTTCCATAACCAAAACTAAATTCTAAAGAAATATTTCTGTTTACATCCAAAACATAACATTTTAGTACAAGTTAACAAACATAAACAGCAACAAATAAAGATGAGCTGATATTTTGATGGAGATAATACCCAAATCAAGCAAAATATGAGTGCTCTTGAACAGCCATGATTTGAACAACATTATATCCAAGTCTTTTAATGCAGGGAAGCACATCATCTGTAAAGTTGGCATATGTGTTAATTATTGGCTCCTACATCTCGGAGTTGATAATATTAAGAAAACTAGGAAATGGATTAACCATACCAAAGTGTACCATGGAAGATAAAGACTGAAGGAGTTTGTGGGACAAATTTTCTTCTTCGAATGATAGTATGACGAAAAGTAGAGATAAGTTTTGGTTTAATTGCAAATTTAGGCTTCTTAATGGTTTTTAGAAATAGGCAAAGAATCATAATGAAATGCAATCAAACTAAATTCTATGTTATTGATTTGAAACTGTTATTTAAGATATTTCTATACACAAAGCAGTTAACAGAGATCCAAGTCACTAGCTGTTTGGCATTTGCATTATCATTAACTAAAGTATACTCATTATTTAGTATAATCCAAATGGAAGGACTTCCTTTAACCAAAGAAAACGAAAAGTAGGCCGTATACACCTATGTGGCTTTTTGCTAGCTTAATTTGACAGATTTTCTCTTTAAGAGAGGCCATCCTACCTATGGGATGCAAGAAAGTTCCATTTCAAAATTTACAAGCCTTTCCAAATAGCTATACTATTTGATGCTCTTAAAGATGTTCAATGCAAGTAAAAATGTTTCTCTATCTTCCTTTTGTTTTTTTTTTTTTTTTGGGAAGGGGAGGGGAGGTAAAATTGATAGTTTAAATACAGATACTAAGATAAATTTTCCTATAAAATGTATTGTCTTATAAAACCTCCTGCTTCACTTTTCGATCTCAAAACCTTGTAGGAACACTTCATAGGAAAGGTTGAAAGAAATAGCATAAAAAATATGATCACACACATGATAGCATTTAATGAAGCTTTTTATCAAACTTAAGGTTTCCTCTTTTAAGATTAAATAAATCAAGGAAATGCAATTCAGCACAGAGACAGAAGAGTTGAAAAACAATTTACTACATGAAAGGGAAAGGAAGATGCATACCATGCAACCCATTCCAACATGTGATTCATAGACTTAAGTGATTTTGGTCCTTTTGGCTGGGGGTGTTTATATACATACTTTTCCTGTTATAGTATAAAAATCATTAGTCAAGATAAAAAGTACAAAATTTGAGATAAGACACATATTACAGACTAAACTAAGTTGACTGTGCCTTGTAGTGACTAAACTTGAACAAGCGAGAACACAATTTAGAAACTGACTTCATATAAGAAAAAGAACCAATCAAAATTGTTTTCTTAAAAACCCTTAAGGGCATTGATGTTAATATTAACATTATGCAGGCAGACGTTCATCAACACAACCTACTCTAAGAAGAATAAGAAATTCATTATTCGTTTATATATCAATTAATCATATTTGTGTGCAAGCATGCATGCATGCTTTTGTTATGTAACCTCACACACATGCAGTCATTTCAAAATTATCATAAACATTAGTTGGTATTTCTAATTTTCCCTAAGCTCCAAATATTTCAGCTGCTTATAGTTTGAAAAGAATAAGTTATCTAATCTTTCCACCAAAACCAAAAGATCAAACAACCACTAATTATACCTCTTCTGGCGGATCATAATATATTCCATTGTATGGGATTTCACCTGGTGCTTGAACAGAGAACTTGATCCAAGCAAGAATGGAGTCCTTCCCAGATGAAGTTTCCATATGAATCTACAATTATATGGTCAAAAAGTTAAAGCGGACACATGGAAAAAGAGGTTTGGATGAATGATAATTGACATGATCATAACAGCCCACCAAAAAAATATTTTTTTTCCATCTTCATCCTTTCTTTCTTTCTCCCTTCCTTTTAGGACAGGAGTTAGTTGGATTTGAACTCAACTACCTTGAATAATTTTGCTTGACTTAGAGACTGCCCCACTAAATACTTCAATGCCTTTATGCCATGAATTCTAGTAATTAATAATCATGAACGTTGTACTACAACCAATGATTTATTCAAACCATATACACGTGCAACAGGATCAGTGCTAAAAAAAAAGCATCATACTTAAAGGTTCCTAGTCCACAGATCATGATCAAAAGGTTAAATACGTTGTTGATCTACAGGGAAAGAGTTGCAAGTTTTAATAGTTTCTTTTTACTCTGACTTAAAAAGTAGAAAAAGAAAATAATAAACAAGTAGCATTTGAATGTAAGCACAATAAGTTTCAAGAGCCATGTTCATCTACAGGTAATTTACCTTCACTTGAGAACCATGGGGAATTGGTGGTGAACCATAAGCATTATTAGCCAAAATATCTTCCAGACACCAAACTCATTCTGTTAAAAAACAATTAATATTTGTAGAATTAAACACTAGATGTTATTTAAATATAGAGATAGACAATAGATCACTGCCAGTGTAAATCAACACAGCTTTCTAAGCACTTAGAAAACAGTCACCTTCCCTTTTATACTTGAGACTACATGGCATTAAATATATGAAGAGAAGTGATGAAGCAGTAGAGAGTTAGAAAAACATGGACAATACACAAATGTTAGGTACGCTTACGCACACACAAGTACATGTGTGCATACTTTTTCAAAACAATTTCTACACTTAGCATCCTCATGGATCACGTAAAAAAGTATTGAAATCCCAATCCATTTACGCAACCCAATGCAACAAATGTTGCTATAGAAGAGACAGGGGACTTAAAAGTGGACATCTTAATTCTGGAATAGATAAATGATTATAAGTCAAAGGAAGCTCAATGTGACTCAAAGAAGAGTTATAGAACATACATCTTCACCAATGGTGACAACCTCAGGATATAGCCCATGAATCATATGATTAACCAGCATCAAATAGACAACAGCATCTACATCAGTTGCATATCTGAAGTACTCATTGTAGTTTCCAATAAAAGCTACCCACAACAAGTTCAAGAAAACAAAGGTTAAGCTAGGATAATACATTATAAAGATGCAATGACACTAAAAACCTTTAGTCCTCAAGAGAATTTACTTAAAAAACAAACATAGAGAAATGATGCTTCACCACTTACAAGAACCAAATGTTACATCAGTTCTATTTCTCTATATAACATAAAATCAAAACTTCGATAATTAACATCTGAACATGCAAGTAAGTTATTATATAACACCAAGCAAAATAGAAAATCTGCAAACTCACTCAGACATTACCTACAACCCATGATGGGTGTACATCATTGAAGTCACAACATCAAATCTGAACCGATCAAACTTGTATTCTTCCAACCACCATCTTGCATTTGAAAGAAGAAACCTTTGTACCCAAAGCAACAAGTAAAAATTAATATTTACACACAATAGGATGGAAGGCAAAATCTTTCAACAAGCTATTGTTTAAGAGAAGTTTCAATAGAAGTACATACTTCCCAGCTTCCATAATTAAAAAGGCGAGAATCCCACATCCAGTGGTGACCCTTTGACCCCGAGTGGAAGTAATGAGCATTGGTTCCATCAAACATGTTCAATCCATCTAACACATTATTAGATGCATGGCTGTATTCGTCAAACATCGGTCAGATACAAAGATGGATGAAAAAAATTAACTAATAACTTAATTTAACTAAAGAATAAAAATTAACTGAAACTTATAGCAAAAGATTACTTACTTAAAGCAACAGAGCAAATACTTGAATAAAAATTTGCTACAGCTTAGAAAGGAATTTAACATTAACAACATGCAAAAGATAAAAACTTTCATTGTAAACAACATAGTAAGATTCCATTTGGTAGTTGTTTTTGCTACTAGCTTTTTGTTTCCAGAAGCAGAAAGTACATTTGGGTAGAAAAGACAATAATACTTTAAAAGAATTAAAAATAAAAAATATAATTTCTTGTAGAACAAAATACTATGATTCCTCTTTTAATAGAACAATTATACTACAAATTCTATTGCATGTAATCATATATATTTTCAAACAACTA